CAGTATCACTACAGAAGTAGGATTGCCCAACCTTCCTTCCGAGGAGTGGCTGGTGGGTTTGAACCGCCAGCCTTCCGGTTAGCAGTCAAGTGCCTTAGGTGGAAATCAAAACAATGAGATATCACCTCATCCCAGCAATGACAGAAAGTTCAATAAGACAGAAAACAACAAATGCTGGCAAGGGTGTGGAGAGATTAGAACCCTCATATACTGCTGGTGGGACTGTAAAATGGTACAACCACCATGGCAAACAGTGTGGCGCTTTCTTAAAAAAATGGATATAAAAACACCATTTGATCCAGCAATCCCACTACTAGGAATATATCCTAAAGAGGTGAGATCAAGGACATGAATAAGTATATGTACACCCATGTTCACCACAGCACCATTTACAATAGCAAAGAGATGGAAACAACCTAAGTGTCCATCAACATAGAAATGGATAACAAACTCAAGATGAATCAAAACTTAAGTGTAAAACCCAAAATTATAAAATTCATCAAAGATAAAACAGGGGCAAATCTTGGAGCCCTAACTTATGTCATAAATAGACTATCAAACATAACCCAGAAAGCACAGGAGATAGAAGAGAAGCTAGATGACTGGAACCTTTTAAAAAATTAAAATTCTTATGCACATCAGAAAACTTCGTCAAAAGGGTAAAAAGACAAATTCAGACTGGAAGAAAATATTTGCCTATAATGTATCTGACAAAGGACTTATCTCCAAAATCTATAGAAAACTTCAACACTCCAACACCAAAAGACAAACAATCTAATTAAAAAATGGGCAAGAGACATGAACAGACACTTCACTAAAGATGATATGCTGGCGGCAAACAAACACATAAGGAACTGCTCATGATCATTAGTCATTAGAGAGATGCAAATCAAAACAATGATGAGATATCATCTCACCCCAGCAACAATAGCAAAGTTCAACAGGACAGAAAATAACAAATGCTGGTGAGGTTGCAGAGAGACTGGAACTCTTATACACTGCTGGTAGGATTGTAAAATGGTACAACTATTGTAGCAAATTATAAAACAATATCATTAATATCGCACGCAAGTAAGAGCTTACTGAAGATAATTCAAAAACGGTTGCAGCAATATATTGACAGAGAACTTTCAGAGGTGCAAGCTGGATTCAGAAGAGGACGTGGAACAAGGGATATCATAGCTGTTGTCAGATGGATCTTGGCTCAAGGCAAAGAATACCAGAAAGA